AAAAAAAAAAAAAAACCTTATTTTATGAAAAAAAAATTTGTTTTTTTTTTTATATTTACATCTCTAACGTAATCGACAGTCATCAAAATTATCAAAATCATCGTCTAATTGTTTTAGGACAATCATCACAAACGTCATGTTCTCCTGCGCAAGTTGTATCGTTAAACACCACAGAGACGAGAGAGAGTTTAAAAGGATTGCTGACAAATCCAAATAAAATATTCAATGAGGAATGCATTTCAGAGGATGTGCTAGTCCAAGACTTGATATACTCTTTTCAAAGTGTTGAGGGAAAATTTTTAAAGCTAGATTCCAGCTATGGTTTTCAGATAGACCCTGTAGCGAAGATTAACAGATCCCAGAAACAAGCTGTCTTAAGACTGAGCGAACTGGGATACTTGCACAGCGTTGTGCGAAAAGGATTAGAAAGAATGTCTGTAACTGGTGCTGGTAGAGTCACTGACAGTTTTGTCGCTGCATTGCACAAGGAATTGTCAGAATATTACAGATTCATAGCCATAATGCAAGAGGAAGTGAATAGGTAGGAATATTAAACATATAATATTATATTATCTCAAAGAATATGAGGATTAATGTTGCAAAGTTGCAATGTTTTTGTAAGTTTAATAACGATATTGTTCTTGTTTAATATAAACGTTGCCTGGGGAGAATATTTGTAATATTATTTATTAGAAAGTAATAGAAACGTAATGATTGAAACAGATCTCAAAATCAAATGGTAACGTATGGAGTTACATTGTCCCATTTACATCTTTGGGCATGCGATCCTCTGGAAACTCTCAAGTGGTTAGCGAGTATAGTGAAAGCTTGCCAAGGCCAAAAAGGTGGTGCACTGGCATCCACTGTCTACGAATTCAGCTATCACGGGGACGCCGCTGTGAAAAATTTAGTCAAAAGAGTTTTGGAGAGTGTTTGCAATCCCTTGTACAATATGCTAATGAGATGGATCGCTGACGGAGAATTGGACGATCCGTACAAAGAGTTTTTCATTCAAGCGTGCAATGATGTTAGCGGCGATAGAATGTGGCATGAGAAGTATCAAGTGAGAAATTCAATGGTGCCGTCTTTTCTTAGTAAAGCACAAGCAAACAAGATTCTAGGAACGGGAAAAAGTATCAATTTCTTGCGCGAAGTTTGTAAAGACTTCTCACCGTGGCAAGATAGGCATGCAGATATGTTCAAAAATAGCGACGAGGAATATAATGGTTAGTAATCTATCCGTTGGCATGTGATTATTATTAAATAACCATGGATTGACGACTATTGTTGTTACGAGACAATCTTAACATCGTTTTTCTCAATAATATTTGCCTATTGAAAATATTTGGTAATTTATAAAAATGTTACCCAATGTTAGATTGTTAGATTGTTACAGTTTGGAAATTTGGGAGGATATTTTATTCTTATTCTTTTAATTCTTATTTAATTATTAAAAGTATAAAAAGTAAGCCTATAGCAACAATAGAAATTGTATTAATTAATTGGCTGTTGCTATTGGTGTAGATTAGGTTTATCAATGTGGGTACTGTTTATTCTTTTATATCTATATAATTCAATGAATTATTGTTTACTTTTTTAGTTGAAATCTTTTTCGACATGGATCCAGACGGTCGTTTGCAAACTATGATGGATGCCGCTTATAAAGAAACTTCAGCAAGAGTTGTTGAAATATTAACAAAACAGTATCATCTTATGGATCATTTGCAGGGGATTAAGGGATATCTGTTGCTTGGTCAAGGCCATTTTATTCAACATCTTATGCACTTGTTAGAGTAAGAATGTCTCTTGATAATGAGAACAATTAATACATATTAATTGTGCGACATTTTAATAATATTGTTTCAATTCTACATTTCAGGCCTGAATTAGCTAAACCAGCGAGCTCTTTATATCCTCATAATATATCGTCTATACTTGAAACTGCGATAAGAGCAACCAGTACAAAGTTAGATGATTTAGATGTGCAAAAACGTTTGGACGTCAGATTGTTAGCACCTTCGGAAAGTGAAACAGGATGGGACGTCTTTATTCTAGATTATAATGTCGATGGGCCTATAGGAACGGTAAAAATTGTCGCAACACATTATAAATTGCAATATTTAATCTTCATATTGAACCTGATCTGATGAATAATCGATAACCTCTCAGATTTTGGAGCCATGCAGACAGACGTATCAAACGGTTTTCTTTGCCTTGTGGAAGGCAAAGAGGATGGAGTCGATTTTATCTGCTATTTGGAAGCAACAGACAACGTCAGCGAAAATGTTCAGAAAAATGCCGGAAGTTTTGCCTATTCAGAATCACATTCATCTAATTACTAGTAGCATGGTCCATTTAGTTCATCAGATGCAATATTACTTTTTATTTGAGGTAATTTGATGTGTTACACGTTAAATTATTAGTAATAATCTATCTTATCGTTAATTTAATGGTGGAAATTCTTATGTGTATTGCATATTAATAAATGAAAAATTTATAATTTAATTAAAGGTAATCGAATGCTCTTGGGATACGTTTGCGAAGCAACTCCTCCAGGCGTCGTCTCTTGATGATATAATTGCAGCTCACAGTCATTTTGTTGATTCTGTAAGACATGGTACATTATTGGATGAAAAATCGCAAGTAAGTGTTAAATCATGTTTGTAACAGTATGTATACATGTGAACGTAATTCTTACGTTATTCTTGATGTTACAGGAACTTATGGATCACTTACGCTCGGTCTACAGTCCAATACTGGACCTTCAGAATCTTGAAGAAACTTTCCTCGCACGTGCGACTCAGGAATATGAGGCGAGATTGAATGCCGATAATTGTGGGAATACGAAAAAATGGGGCCGTACAAATAAAAAAGATCAAGAAGTTGTAGAAAGGGAGGCAGCATTCTCAAAATATCTAAACACACTTTCAATACAATTGAGACTACTTTCTAGAACCTATCAGGTAATAATGAAGTGGAATACTAATTCTGTTTTTGCATATACAGGGTGTCCCGAAATTCGCGAATCAAAATGTCATAGCGAGAAAGTAAGTAAAAAAGTTATTTGTAAATTTTTATTTTAAGCAATAATTTTTGAGATATACGGGTTTAAATTTAGCCAATTATAGGTTAGTACTCGCGTGAAGTGCGCGACCACTAAGGACTATCGACGCGCTCACGCATATGTTTCCGTTTAATCGTAATCTATAATTGGCTAAATTTAAACTCTTTTATCTCAGAAACTACTGCTTAAAATAAAATTTACAAATAACTTTTTTACTTAATTCTTGCTATGATATTTTGATTCACAAATTTCGGGACCTCCTGTATATGTCATTATTGTTGTTATTTTTCTACCTATCTACTCCGTACCTGATTTTTATTTTGTCTAATAGAGCCATTTATATATTATTCCTAACGCTTAAACTAAGATGTAAAAAGCAATTGCTTTCTTTTTTATATATCTTAAAAATTAATCTTTTTATCTTTTCTAGAAAGAAAAAAATATATTTAAAAAAATGTATATATTCTTTTACAGGATCGTGTGAAAAAATTTTTATTAATGCTTGCTTCCGCTGAAGATGTGTCGCTGCAGTTACTTAGTGTACGATTAGATTTTAATGAATACTACAAGAGTAAAGATAGCCGACTAGTTGTGCCGTTAACATATCAACATCGCAGACAAAGTGATCAGACTTTCTTCGGATGCAAGTGACAATTGGCAGCGGAAAATTTGTCAGAAACCTCCGATGATTCAAGTCACCTTTCAAATAAATGCTGTACCTCAGCCGAGCAGAATTCATCTGATGTTAATAGTAAGGATACAAGCATATTTGATTTTTCCAATAATCGTCCTTCTTCATTTTCGTCTTTATGTCGGCATCATGATACCACAAATTTTTTTTATAGACCATACTCATCCAAAATGACGACAGATGTCAATCACTCTGTCGCTTTGCACAAAGAAAGGTGTAGAACCAATTTGAGAAACGCCGAGCTAAGTAAACGAACGTTTAGATTATTTTTGGAAAAACAGATATTATCACACGTGGAGGTAGAGATTCAGAAAAATATCCAAGAGCCTCAAAGCCCGTTAACACCTAATTTTCATTTTGACGAAAGCGACCTTACTTTGAGCAAGATGCGATTAACGCTTTCTCCGTTTCAGACAATTATATCAGAAACGAAATCGTCCATAAAAAATAATTTAACCTTACCGAACTTAGAAGCTAAAATGTGCTCTAGTAATAGAGCTGTAAAAATAACTAATACAATCGTAAAAAGTGACGGTGGTTCTAATATTAATGTTTACGAGAATCCCTTTCAAAACAAATCAAAAGTTTCCACTTATACCGCACCTGTGTCTAATCAAAATACCTCAAATTCTAAAATGAACACAGCAATTGATAAGCAATCTAACTATGCACTGATGTATGATAACAGTCCAGAATGGTTTCAAGATAACGAGACTGTATCAGTTCATGGTTCTCTGTTAAGTGAAACTATTTCGGACATTAGCGTGTACAGTAATTCAGACTTGAGAAGAAATACTAATCGCAAACGGTGTCGTTGGAGACGCATACTTTTTTGTTGTGTCAATTGAGTTTGACATTTACATCAACTGTACATCGATAATCACAAAATTTATTTGAGAAAAAGACATCTGTTTGTCTAAAATTGATATGTATGTTCTTTTCTTTTTTTTTTTTTATTTCTTTAGAAAATTATATGTATATAATCCAATATATGCGCTTGGATTAATAATGACATTCATTAATATTAATATGATCTCTGTATTGATAAATGTTTACTTATGAAACACGTCTTCTACTATTTCTGCACTGTTTGCCGTATTTATACGAAATGTTAATATTTTAAATCTTGTGATTATTAGAAAATGGTATGTCCAAAGTATAATTCACAACCTACAATGTTCAGTATTGAAAAAGAATTAAAATTTATATTTTTCACTGTACAATTGAGTAGTATAAAGTGGTACCTTTCTGCCATTTAATCTTAAGATAGTAGTATTGTTTTTATTTTTCTGTTACAATATATATATTTTTGACGTAATAGAAAATATCGTTATATAGTTTCAATACTTTCATTATCTACGGATTTAATAGAAATATTACACATTGATATATACATTTTATTTTTGCAGACTTTTCTTATTAGACACAAAAGTATACATTCTTTTTAAGTACACATAGACTATACATACATTGTTTATCACTTATAATCATTTGCCATATTTAATAAGTTACATTTAACATATTTATTTAATTCCTTGCCATATTAGAAAATTAATGCTCTTCAGAAAACAAACTATTTTTATATTATTGAAAAATGTATTATTATGTATTTAATATATTTATAAAATAAATCCATTAGATTACCTTTTTCTTAACTGCAACGTTCAGCAGTATAAAATGCAAGTTGTTATTTAGATCATGAAATAAAATAAAGTATAATGAATTAAAAAAGATCCTAATATGTTTTCCATTTTTATTATATGTATATTTAATGTTAAATAGGATGTACATAGCGCAGTATTAATAAAATCCGTATAAATATTGGATTTAATTGAAAAAAAATAATTATTAGTTTTATTATAAATATTAGTATTATAAATATTATCTTTACATATTTGAGAATAATTTCAGTCCTAGTATAACATACAGGAAGATTTAATTGAAAGTGAACTGAAATATTAACTTTTTCAACAGTAAATTAATTTTTTACAATTAATTTGTAAAAATTGTGCTCTAGCTTAATCTATTAGTTGGTTTACTGTGTTTGAATTGTGCTATGTTACATTGTTTTTCAGCAGTTAAATATACATGTATATCAATTATTGGCCCATATTCAGAACGTGCTTACAACGCGTGTTGGCGCACATTTAGCATACATATACATATATAATTTACATTACATATACTATAGACTTTCGAGATTTATTAGCGTGCTACCATCGCTGTAAACGTGTTCTGAATTATTTATAGAGGGAAAAAAGAGATAAGACAAATTAAAAGGTAAAGTCTAGAAATATTACTTTTACTCATTATATTACTGTGTATTATTATATTTCACGTTTCTTCTCCTCTTACACAATGGACAAATATTAAATATATATATATAATATTCTCCGTTAACTACTTTTATAGAAATTCATAATAAATAAAGTTTGGTTGAAGAAAATATAATAAATTAATTTTGGAATTGTAATGGCATCCAAGAAAGAGAAGGCCATGGATACATTGCAGGTAATTGCATGTAATTGTTATTAAAACCTTCAACTTTGACAATCTCTACACTTGAAATACCATTGTGTATACCCGTATAATTAGCTGCATTGTTTGATACACGTGAATGCTGTAAACGCTCATGAATTTGTAAATTATTGATGACGGGAGGCTTCTGATTGTAGATACCATAATAAGAACGCTCACCTATAAAGAAAACTTTTGCATATACGCTATTTAATGTTATAATTCGTTATATATATCAACTACGATTACAGAGTCAATTATAGTTTATAAAGAGAATTCATAATTTCATTAATAGCTCTATTTTACAGCAAAAAATTATTTTGATCGGATTTGATTTTTTAATAATGCTGAAAACGATGTCGCAAGCCAAAAAATTCCAGCACGTCAGATTTCTAAGATAATTGAGATTTAATTGAGATTTTATCTAAGATAATTGAGATTTGTCTAAAAAATGATTTTTTTCGCGTCAGAAACTTGACGTTTTGGAAAAGTTTGATTTGAGGTATCGTTTTCAGCATCGAAAAATTTATAAGAAACACGCGTAGTCTGGTTTAAAGTAAAAAACTTTAAACCTGTTTTTTTTAAACTACTAGTGTAATTGTCACATTACAAAAATTCTCATTAAGGGATTATAAATTATATTTTTTAAAATTATTTTAAAATATAAGAGATTTTTTCTCAATTCTTACTATTTTTCATTTACATTTATTTATAATTTATTTATAGTTCTGGTCCCTTGCAATATAATCATTGCAAGGGACCAGATAGCTCTTATTTAGTCTGATAACATTATTGAAAATATTTTTTGTATTCTACATAGTTAAAGAAAAATGATAAAATTCTACCTACATGATTTTTTTAATCATTTTTTTGTCTCAAGCAACATGAAATGTAAGGATATTTTTTTATATTTACAGACAGCAATTTATATACAATTCATGTATATTTCTAACTTGAACTCAAAATCTATTTAAAAACATTTTTTTCGAAAATTTTACTAACGTGTTGTCGATTAGCCCAATTGATTTAGCAGTTAGATTGATCAAATAAGAAAGCAATAATTAATATATTTAGAATATTAATAACAGTTTGATATAAAAGACGAATAATAAATAAAATAAAATTTCTATTTTCTTATTGTTATTACCGTGTGATTTTATATGATGATGCAAGGCGCCGAATTTGCAAAATCCCCTGTTACAGACGGGACAACGTAAAGGCCAATTACCAGTATGGGAATATCCATGAGCCCTTAAATCACCGGGAGTTGGAAATGATCGTCCACATTCGTCACATTTGTGTGGTTTCTCCTGCATTTCGAATTATATGTACATATATATATATATATATATATGTATATACATATGTATATATATATATATATATATCAAACATTTATATGGTAATTGAATCAAGAGAAATTATATACGTAAAAAGAAATATACGGCTAATTGTATAAATGTGTATATATACACACACACAAAATTAGTCATATAATTTTTATTGTTATAGTTACCTTACAAACAGTGGCGGTTACAGGAGGGGTGGGAGGTGGAGGGGGCGATCGCCCCCCCTAGAGCTCTCCAAACAAATTTTGTATATTGGAAAAAGTCAGTTTAAAATGAAATTAAAGAAAAAAAAATTATCCGAGATTATTAGAGACTAAATAATATTTACTCAATTTTTTTTAATAATAAGAAATATTAAAAATAATATTAACGACAATAATAACTAAATATTCATATTTTGTTATACCGTCCCCCCCTCCCATCCAAGAACAACTCTCTGGATCCGCTACTGCTTACAAATGTCTTATAATTATAATGCTTTTACATTGAAGAAAAAATGATTCTTAGAGTGATTCTTTATTCTCCCGTTTTATTCTATATTAAGCTGGCCTATTTTTAGGTCGTATTAGTACATATAATAATCTAAGGAGTTAAAAAAAATACCTTATAATGTGTCATGCGGTGATAATACAAATTTGATGACGCTGTAAAACGCTTTCCACACATTGGACATTCATGAGGACGTTCACCAGTATGAATCCTAACGTGAGTATTCAGTGAACTGCTTGTACTAAACATCTTACCACATATTGCGCAACCGTGTGGCTTTTCGCCTAAGAATAGGTTTTTTTTTATGTTAACCACATATAAAAATACAGAAAAAAAGTTAGTTTTCAAATAAATTTTCATAATTTTGTATGAAGATCTTACAATCTTGTTAGTTAATTTTACACACATTTTATACAAATATCTGGATACATGGATAATATGACTATTAGTTTTGCAAAACAAAACTGAAATTAGTAGTACTTATTAATCCTATCTTAAAATTGCCATGTTACCTGCGTTAAAGCCTCTTTTCCCCAATGTTTAAAAATTCATATCTTCCAAAAAAAGATCGGAAGAGCACACG